GTTCCACCCCCACGACCTGTTTCCCTATCCCCTCGAAAAAGATTGTACTTATCAATTGATAAGCTACCATCCACAATGTCACTTGAGCACCAGGCTTCAGTGATCATGATCAGCGACGGATTGCATATAGAGGCTAACGTACATAATGCTAAATGTTTGTTAAGAACTGATCTAGCATTTATGAGGATGACGGATAGACTTTGACGAAGTGGTTTTAGTGTATGGGCAATATCATAATAAAATACTCTATGGTTATCAACTGAATATGTGCAGTCGTTATTGGATTCATTAATTACAACATTTTGATCACTAGAGACGGTTTCTTTAATTTGATAGTTAGGGATGGGTTGTGAAATGTCACTCGTGAGTAGTTGGTCGTTTAGATATTGCGTGCTATGGGAGATACTAGTATGATAATCTATGGTATTACTATTGGTATTAGGTGTGTATAAGATGTTTGCTATCTTTCGGGGAAGAAGCAGTTTCCCTGTTGTAAGGTGTTCGCTATACCAGCAAGGAATTGGTCTGATATCATGCGTGCTATGTGCATGATCCCAGGCGTTTCTGCCAGTTGTCGCTGGAGAAAATTTTGGTCATATGGTTGGCTAGTGTCGTGTAATCTGCATAGTTATAACCGAAATGTGTGATCGGCGTGTTGTTGTGTGCATATGACTTAGATCCCTGTGTCTGATTAGAGTACTTCCTAGGCCATGATGAGCATTGTGCTGAAATTGGCATGTGACCCCTACTGAATGCATGAGAATTATGACAGGGCACTATACGCGTTTTTGGACTAACGTCTGTATTCTCAAACTGATGTTTCCTGTACATCATGGTTGAGGGTGCATTCGTGAGGGGTTGAGCAACTTCGTGTTTTCGAAGTGTTTGGTGAGATATGTGACGATTGTTTTTTCTTATCATAGGACTGGTAGTGGAAGTCGGAAATGATTCAGCTCCTACGGTATGTGAATTACGTCTAACTTCAGGAACATGACTAAGTTTAGATGATTGTCTATCAGTAGAATGAGCCAGTGACCCATTTGAAACTTTCCTACTTATGGGCTTTAGTGTTCCGGGTCTAACGTTTGGTTTAGCTTTATCCGTATTAGTCGGCCTGTATAATTTGGGCTGCTGGTGATTAGTAGGATTTCCTAATAAACTGGATTTCTGATGAATAGTCTCAACAGTTTTTTGGTGTTCCTAACGGAAATAGGACGTTTATCATATCGCCTTGTATTTACACCTACCTGGGTGGCCACATGTGATTGCTGCTTCACAGTAGCCGGGCTAAGAGGTTGTGAGGTATATGACTTCCCGAGAGATTCAAAGTGTACTACTGAATTCAGCTTAGACTTTTTCGAGGGTTTGGCATTAGTGCCAGTGTGCAAGGGATGCACGTCAATACTGTGATCTGTTGACATTTCTATGTCTGAAATTTCAGTATTTCGAGCTAAGTCTTCAACAGTTGCTTGACTACTGTTAGTTTGTGTATGCGATATTATCTGGTGCTCTTGGTCATCAGGCAATACAACGAGGGAAGTATTAACATCGGTTGTCTTATTGGGGTTGTCTTCCCTCAGTTTACCTGCGCGGCAACGTCTTTGGCAAGAAGTTAAATCAGGTACAATCCTGATATTGGTGTAGGGTGTTGAGGAGCCAAGAGTTTTGCCAGACTCCAAAAATTTCTTAGCTAGGTCAATAGACTTAAATTTGAAGAGTACAGGACATGGGTGGTTTGCGGATTTCTTACGAAGACGCAGAACCTGGCAGTCAGATACTGAAATGTTGCATGCCTGTAGACAGATTGCTTTAAGTTTGATAATAGGTACATTGTCTGGTATATTATATCCTAAAACATTGTATGAGGACATGACCCTCTTTACAGCCTCTGCAGTCAAAAAGTCTAGCAGGCGCTCAGATTTGAGGAGTGAATCTAAGCAAATTTCTTGTGATGGATCACAAAGTTGGAGGAAAGGAGTGATACTTTCGAACTTATCCTGCAGGTCTGTTATGGATTTCTGAAGGATCTTTAGATCACTAGTGTTACGGGCTACGTTATCGATTAGTTCTTCCATTAAGTTTGGTACTATAACTCTCGGTGTATCAATTGATCTTAGTACAAATTCATCGTCAGGACTAATGTTTCTAGTGACCTGCTGACTATTTGATGCTAGTCTCTTAACAGTACTAACTCGTTTAATAACTTTGACCATTATGGAGGTAAAGATTATAAAAATTTCTCAAAAATTGACAAAAGTGTGTGAAATACTGTTATATTATCTAAGTAGATAAAAACAACAATAAACAGGTATGAATGTATGAAGTACGAACTAAAAATAGACCACTATCAAACGAGTTAACTCTGACAGTTATAAACAACAAAACTAAGGACTTCTCTATAGTTCCTTTGTGATAGATTGCTATTTATTAACACGAATTTGACTACCGATAGAGTTGGTGAATCCTACATAGCTAGGAAAAAGATGTACCTTATTATAATATATATACTAAATATGCTAATTAATCATATGTGTAAATTATCGAATTGATGATGCCTGTAAACTGGCGTCCCTCATGTAAAAAATGAGAATATATATTATTGTTATTATTATTATCGACGTCTTAAGAAGCCGTATTTCACTTGCGTGAACGGTGTATGATGTTGGAGGTATAAAGCACTGTCGTGCGCCATGATCCTTTGCATAACCGTGAAAAATAATGAAGTGATATGGATGGGTTTGTCGCTTTTGACGTCAGAAGTTGGTCCCAGTTTTCGCCTAGGGGTTATAAATGACAGTTTGCAGTGCTAAAGATGACTGCTATTGCTTAAGGACAGATTGGAAAAACTTTGGGAGGATAGTGGGTATGTCCTCACCACCCCCATTTCAACAAGATAGATGGAATTTCATCCAGGTCAGCATTATTTGATGTTCGAAGAGATGCTACAACTGATGAACTTTCTTGTGTAGTGGATGCTGTTACCCAAAAAGTGATTTGGTGGTGCCAGGACATCAAGATCGCTTACTGTATCTTCTTTGGTAAAGTACCTACCAAAGTAGAAGCTGAAAAACTCATATACCTCCCGCGGGTCTTCGCATGGTTTTTATGCATCTTTTAGTAGGTTGGGGATACCCATTCTGTTGTTACTAATTCGTCATTTTATTTGTTTTACTAATGCCTCTATATTATCAGGTTCTGAATAGAATGTGCGTTCTGGATTGACTGAATTGACTAGATTTCTATAAATTGTGAGTGTAATGAGTGATGAAAAGTCATTAAATCTCTAAAACAGTCTGGCATCCTTATGTAGGCAGTCGAACTTTATAGACTCCGTTTTCACCAGTCTTGCTGGAGCGATGAAGTCACGTGAAGACCCTAAATTCTCAAAGATTGAATTGTCTGTCTCTGTTGCCGACCTGAATGTAAGGAATGGCTGCCAGCCCAGAGTGAGTAGCTACAGTCTTACGTCATCCCTCTTAGCGTGTCTGCAACCCCCAAGCAATATTTGTCATTTATTGTCGAACTAATGCTAGTGTTAATATTAAATCTACCGAATACTACTCTGTGGTCGCTGCCAGGTAACTATTTGCCTAATCGAAGGGTTGCGAGGATGATACCGTTGGTGAAAACTAGGTCCAAAATATTAGATAGGCTATTAGGATGTTTTGTTTCTATAGTGTTCAAAAAATCATCATAGAGTTTTGGTGGGCGAAGTGGTTACCAAACTACGCCAGGCATTTTAAAGTCCCCACATATAATTTTAGCTCTGTGAGGTAGTGAATTGGCGTAAGCGAACGTGTTCGCAAAATTTTGAGCATTAGTAATGGTAGATGCAACCTATAAATAGAAATTAGGATGAGAGGGTCTTAGAATAGCCCATATCGAGTCGTTATGTGCTATGATCCCTGGATAAAACAAAGTCTGGCATTAGTATCGTACATGATATAAACAACACACCCTCCCTTATTATTGTTGTTTCCATCACCTTCTCAATATGAAGTAGTCATCAATAGAAATATCATTATTGCAATACTTAGGAATCCAGCATGTTTTTTTGTTTTCATTATGAAGGACGGTTTTCAAATTTAGGATAATGTTGTGTAGTCCAATATTTTATTCAGCAAGGAGCGGAAATTGATTAGATAGCATGACAGAGGGAGGGGCAGGAGTGACGATGAGGTCACACATATTCTTTAAAATGTTATCCATTAGGTTGTTGGTGGAGTGGGTTGCTTGATCGGCGCTGACTAAGGCGACTTACTGACGGTGATGGAACAATGAATTTCACTGGTATCAGCACAGAAAGGTGTCAACACTTGTTGTATTGTGGCAGTCACAGTAAAGCAACGTTTGTCACAATTGTGACCAATATTTTTTGTATTTTGGTTATTTTTGTAAGTATTAGTCCACAGATGATCTTCGGTAGTTTGTATCTGATGGTGAGCAGGGGGGGGGCTACCTTTAGAAAATAAGCCCAATGCACTTGCTCCTTGTTGTGGGTATCCGTGTTCAATAGCAATAGATAGGAGAGTTGTGTCCCGGTAGGTGTATGTCTGTCGGTGGAGTTTCGATGTAGTCTTAGAGTGCTCAGAAAGGTAGCGTCTGCTGAATCCAGTCAGTGAAGATTTGTTAGGTGTTGGGTGACTCCATAAGCTACCATTATTTTCACAGGCGTTACGTTCAATTAGGAGTCGATCGAACCCTGTCTACCTGATACAAAGGGTGATCCACAACCAACATACGAATGAAATATGAGAAAACAAGGTCGAAACTTACCGCAACACCACATGAAAAGATAAAAGTTAATTGAACATCATTTATAATCCACCAACTGGTCTCCTTCCCAAAAAGAATGCAGCGATGTCTTATCCAAAATGGCGAGGAAATACTTAAACCCACAGCTGCTGTTGTAAACACTCAGTGGGGGTAGGAGCCAACAAAGTAATCCACACAAAGCATATGTATACTTCCCATGACCACGGCGACTTTCTGCGGAGTACGTCAAAATCCAAATCACTACCTATACAGCGCCAATAAACCTGGATATCTACGATATAACGAAAACATGCTGAAAGCTGCATCTCAGATCGAGTTGATTCATTCGATGGTAATAATCTGCTCCTGCATGCCTTATTCGACATTTTGAGTGGAATGGTTCGCGGTTATTCTGGTACCAGATCGAAAAGAATAAAAATTCACTGGTTGCTGAATCAAAAGTACTTCTCTGCATGTTAAACTGCATTTTAACTTCTGTGGTGAGCCTTCTGCAGATTATGTTGCTTAAGGCATCGTTTACGTTAAACTGACTAACGTTCTATAAGCCATTTTTACACTTTTGCCAATGGCCCACCATATTGACCGAATGTAACGCAGCACTCAGTTGTTACACGCATTTTCGACAAATTTTAAACTAATTGTGCCTAGCATTATATCATATAATTCGTTTTAACTTATGCAAGGTGTGTTCACTATCATTATTCCATTATCCCCCTTATATATATCTTGTGTCAGTGAAAATTTTTAAATATGCTTCCTCCATGTGAACATTACCATATTGATGATGCCTGTCAACTGTCATGTGCATTAAAAGACAGTATATTATTATAAGATTCATTTTATTGTTATATTAGGAAATCAACTTCAAGCTTTATTTATTTTCCGAAGTATCTCTAACCCATCAAAGGAATACTTGGGTTCTTTGTTGATGCGAAGTCAATATCCCTATATCTACTGATGTGGTCTATCGAATCACTAGTTATCAGAATTTTCCCATAAACTAAAGAAAAAATGACGGCAGCCGTAAATCACGTAATTTAAACAATATCTATGCATGTCTATACAACTGGTGTATTCTACATAGCTAGGAAAAATATGTAACTTATTATATTATCTTTACTAACTATGCTTACTAATCGTATGTGTAATTTATCGAATTGATGATGCCTGTAAACTGCAGTCCCTCATGTACAAAAATGATAAAATATATAATTATTACAGTCGTGGGAAGACTAATTTAAATTTCTGGATAAATAGTAGGATTCGCATTACTAAACGTAAGGGTATTGGATTTGCTGCTAAAAGCCTATGAGTAACGGGTTTTAATACGGGTATCCTGCTCGGTAGGGTTGCGTGACTTCTTTTTCTATGCATACATAGTTTTTATCGGTGACGTTCTGTTTATTCGTAAATGCTCGAGCTTGAACGTTTGCTGCCGGCGATGGTGTATCTAAGGATCATAGCAATAAAGATGAGTCTAAATCCATGACCGTAATTGCCTTATTGTTGAGTTTACTAGGAGAAGGGCTATTATTTCGGGATATTTAATTTTCATCAGGGTCTTTAGTAGTTGCTTTGCTTAAATCCAAGGAGATAGAATATCATATAGTGAATTCTGTGGATGGATAGGTTTTCGCAACAGTGAAAACACTGGAGCGGCTACGCATTTGACAGGGCATTATGTTAAGAGAATCTTAAAAGTTACTGTATTGTGAACATGAACTCATAAGCCTGTGATTATAGTGGGAATTTCAAGCATCACCAGGACCACTGAATTGAAAGAGCGCAGGACAGGTGGATTTTTCCGCATATTTTCCACAATCTTATTAGGTGGCGATTTGCTGAAGACGTGCCTCATGCTAGACGGGCCGCTTCAATTTTGTCGATCAAGTTCGGTCAGGCAGATTGTATGAGACAGCTTGGTAAGAAGACACGATTCGTTTGAGTTAAAATGGATATAAATACTAACATGCACACAGACGTGAGCAGAATGCAAAAACCATCATTATGAGTTGAGATAATGAAAAGAGTAGGGATTTATCGTATTTATTTCCTAAATAAATTGCTCTAAATAAAAGGATCAAAATGATCAAAATAAGCCAATGCGTACATCTTCAGAAGCGAGTCAGATAAAGCGCAAACACTTAATAAGGGCGACATGATGGAAGTTAGAATCCCAGAGAAAATATAAATCTCACATAGTCTTATACCTTCAGTGTCTGAGAGATTGGCTTGTTGCTAGCAGAAGCTCTCTTTATGAGCTTGCAGATGACGTTGTTATTCTACATGATGACGCCAATACAATACACTGCCCCCAGAACACCTCAAGTGGGAATCTAAGTATGTTGGACGTGCGATTCAACCCTACCAAATGTAAGATGACTAGTTTGCGCCGACTCACAATTTAAGAATAATAAGTGAACTGGCCAAATATGTCGATCAGCTCAATTATATGGAGAGTCGCATCAGCTCAACCGGACTGACTGCTGACGAAATCTCAAAAAGCTCACAAGCCGTCTTTGTTGATTGACGACCTAATCCACTTCTGTCGCAGGAATGACATCTCTTTGTTCATTAAAGGAAATATGTACTGTGCAGCAGTTCACTATTTTCACCTTTATGGCTGAGACAGTCATTGAAGATGAAAAAATTAGCGAGCTTCGACCACAAGTGTCTAGGCCTTCTCTCCTCAATCAATGCTCAGCACTTTGTTAGACTGCATCATTTGAAATAGTTTTTGTAGGTCACGTGAATTCTACTGGATTTGCTTGCACCAATACCGATGGAAGCAATATAATCGTTATGCATAAGATGTTATAAGGCGACTGGTTCATGATCCGTAAAATTGTCAAGTCTAGACGTGTCAGTAAAGCAAGGGAAAGAGTAATATCTCTCGTCACCGATTCGGTCACAGTTCAGGCAATAGTCTTAGAAAGCATGTCAACTGCCGTTGGAATTTCAACTAACAGTATATCTAATTCTCGTGAATCTTTGGCCAAGAAAGGCTTTGTGCTCTTTTCAGCATTTTCGACCGGAAGCATTTATGCAGGCCCTTATTCCAATGATTTGTATGTGGGAAGTTCAGGACATATTTTCAAGCATCCATTTAGTGAGCCAAATGGTAGTACACAGCAGGAAAAGTTGTATCCTGTTTCTATGGGGGACTTATCACTGATTCCTATCATAAGTGCGTTTGTATATACTTTGTCACCAGAAGATATCCTTGCTCTTGATTACGCCTTAAGGTGTGGTCTTGCTAGTCGCAGTAGTCTCACAAAGTATGAAACCTGTGTTTCAAAATTCATTCATCTTCAAAGTGGGGTTGTGAATTGCCCAAACTGTGTACTCTACAGCTGTGAAGATCTGGAATGTTCAAAACAATGCCGAAAGCTTCACTCTGGCTGCGATCCCAACGAATTTCATCCGACTACCGTATGCAGAACTGAGTCATGCGATTGTCCACTGCTCGATATATCCAGATTAAAATGGTTCAGACGAGATTTTTTGTCACCAAATGGCGTTCCATCCAAAGGTTCGTATTACTGCATTGACATTTTGCTCGCTGTTTGCAAAGCTTGGAGGTGGCCAGACTTAATTCCAGGCGACTGTTTGAGGTAAGTTCCTGTTGCCCTCGTTTTTTTTATAAACGCACACAACTTAGTGTTACTCTACAGTGTGTCTGTCAAAAAGTCTGTTCATCACACTATTTCCGTGCATTACATCACTGCAATACATAGATAGTGAGTAGTCCAGTAACATTCAGGATAAAAGCTTGTTGTTCCAACCAGTAAATTCACCTAAACTATTTCAAATAGTGGAAAAGTACATCTTATATATCCTCTTTCCAGACATAACTGCCGAAAACGTATATAGATTTTAAAGGTATAATACAGTGCATTTTGGAGTTTATTTGAGTGGAATCACTGCTTAAGATTGTGGGGCGCCGTCGCCGTCAGTTTTTAGAATCTCTCGTGATGGTGTGCATATATGCGTGTCGATTGTATGAGTATTGCAATGAATATCATTCCGCCTCTTATTTACATGTTTCATTGCTTGTAACTTAGGCTTATAATCATTCTGATATATCATCGAGATTTAGCAAATTTGGATTCGTTTATTCACAAGGCTCATCCTCCTTTTACAACTAAACACCAACCCAACAGAAAAAGAAACTATAGGGAATTGTATTATTTTTAAATGTAGATATTCCCATGGGGCTTGAAATGGTGATCAATATCTTCGTCTTATAGTGCTGTATATTAGTCTGCCTAGTTTCTACTGCTTTCCAACTCTGTATTAATTTAGCTTAAAACACGCAGGGGTGAATGATGACTTAGAATACTGTGTTTATGAACTTTTACAACGTAATCACTTAAATTATATTGCCAAAGAATGAATTTAGCGAAAGTCAGATAGGTAGTGTGGCGGTTATCAAATTGATTTGGATCATTCACATGGTGTGACTAGGGGGCTTTAAGTTATTAAAACCAATAATGCATACTGCGAATGATGTCTCTCAAATCGTTCGTAGTGTCTCAAATACTGTCATTTTTTGCCTATCTTCATCGTTTTGAAAATTTCCCTTAGTCACTATTTCAATGTCCTCCTTCTACTGATGTCATTCACCTTCCCCTCTCCTGTCACGAAATGTCGCAACTGATTTATGTGTGTCAGCAGACCTTTTCAGATAGTTCTTGATAAGCAGTACACCACTATGCGTATAAAACACCGTTGTTATTGATATACGTACTTGTATGTGTAACTTGAGAGCATCCGCCTTCCAATTTCACTTTTCTCATATTATGTGATTTCTACGAATCTCATCATTGCTTTATACTTTTCTGATGAATGTCTTACGTATAGGATAGTTAAATTTTTGCCCCAAAGTTTCGCTTTTCGGGATCAAAAATGTGCATCGTTATTTTCATTGTTTCGTTTTTTTTAAATTCACTTGCTGATAACTGCGGCAGTTATTTTGGAAAAGTTAAATAATACGTTTAATGATGAGGTGTATTATGCTCTCAATCTATGGAGTTAACTGACTTTTTTTATCGTAATTGTCAGTAACGTGCAGTCTAGCTGAAGTGTTAAAATGGATTAAATGGCGAATCATTAAGAAGGACGTACCTATAGTCATAGGCAGCTCTGGCTGAGCAGAATAGAAATAAAGTTCAATTACGCCTTATTGCTACTGACTTTTATATGCAGTTTCTGATTATTAATTCTAATCATTTTATTCACTTGCAGTAGGAAGCTTTTTTCCCGTTCTCTTTAGGTTAGCTGAGAATAATCTTCGAATTTCGTACTGTTCTGCTGACTACAATAAGATATATTCACACGATGTTTTAGAGATACAATGGCTGACAACATATAATTTGGTATTTAGGCAAAACAATATACTTTACTAAAATAATCACCTCTGTTCTCATCAATAAATGAATCTGTGCTGCTGACTAACTTGTTAAATGTCCCCAAAGTCCATCACTTCGGGTTGCCACAGTGCAAAGAAATATATCTAGAGGAAGTAAATATAATGAAGTCCCAATAAATTGAGATTTGCGACAGAAAAAATATACTTAGGTTAAGGTTAGTGAAATTTCTCAGAACCTGGCTAGTTACGTGGAATTCACGTACATGCGTCATTAAAGGCGATTCTGAGCCAGGTTACCAGTAGTTCCCAACCTTGGACTCTTGGCATCCCGAGGACCTAACTAGTATGTATTTTGGAACAATAGACAATCGCTTCATGGATTACTTTTATATTTTTGTCTGACCATCCTTCTTTTAATCTAGCTATACGTATGCTAACATTGTTTCTTAAAGAAAACGCTAGCTTGGACGTCTCAATTTGTGGAGCTTCACAGATTCATTGGTTAGTTTCCCACCTTACTTTGCACTCTACTCCTAGCCTCATTATTGCTGACAGTATTGCCTCACCAAATACGGGAGACTCAATCTAGACAGTTGTGGTCGAAGCTCGCTAATTTTTTCATCTTCAATGACTGTCTCAGCCATAAAGGTGAAAATAGTGAACTGCTGCACAGTACATATTTCCTTTAATGAACAAAGAGATGTCATTCCTGCGACAGAAGTGGATTAGGTCGTCAATCAACAAAGACGGCTTGTGAGCTTTTTGAGATTTCGTCAGCAGTCAGTCCGGTTGAGCTGATGCGACTCTCCATATAATTGAGCTGATCGACATATTTGGCCAGTTCACTTATTATTCTTAAATTGTGAGTCGGCGCAAACTAGTCATCTTACATTTGGTAGGGTTGAATCGCACGTCCAACATACTTAGATTCCCACTTGAGGTGTTCTGGGGGCAGTGTATTGTATTGGCGTCATCATGTAGAATAACAACGTCATCTGCAAGCTCATAAAGAGAGCTTCTGCTAGCAACAAGCCAATCTCTCAGACACTGAAGGTATAAGACTATGTGAGATTTATGTTTTCTCTGGGATTCTAACTTCCGTCATCCCGCGGCTATATAAGGGCTGCATACACGATTGTTTATTTTAGCTTCTTATGCAAACGTACAATTCAGTAGCAGTCTAGAAGTTGAATTCAAAATACTGAATGTTCTCGCTGTCTTTAACTTCATTTTGGGCATCACATAAACCTTATTGAGTTTATGAAGTTTGTGGCCTCTAAGTTTATTTCATCGATTGTCCACCAGTCATTCAATAGTTCCATTTACTTCCGAGTTTACTGAGGTTCAGGCCTATGAATTATGCGTAACAGCAAAAACATCATTTCTAGTTCAGCTAAACGAAGAATTTTCCTCTCAATTTGTGTTCTATATTTGTTATTCAGTTGATGACATCGGCCGTATGGCAACATTACGGACCTACAAATCAACTGCTCTCCATTACAAAAAAGTAGTATTTATGATACTGAAGTAGTTTTTACACCATAAATTAGCTTGTTTTTTGTTAGTGTCATCCAGTTCACAAGTTTTTACATATATATATATATATATATATATATATCGTCAGCAATTTAAGCTTTTCATACTTCGCTTATTCAGTTCACTTGGATATAAAAGAATGATATTATAACTTTCCATACTGCATACACGGGCTATAGCTTTTTGTCTGCCTTCAGTTCATGTATCAATGAAGCTAATTATTAATCCGACAGCTGTTTGACCTTTATATATGTATATATCCTAAGTTAGACACCAAGTTGCTCAAAAATTATCATTAGCCTTATAATAGGGGGATGGAACAAGACGATATAGTACATTGTGGTTTTGGCGCCAGTATGTTGACGGCATTTATAAATCCATTCACTGCCATTTTGGATCTGCTATTATTTTTTGCCCACCCAACACTTATTGGCAAAACATATATATATATATATATATATATATATATATCATCAGTACGATTATGTTTTCCGTCATCGTTCATAATCTCTTCCACATTAGATGGAAAAGGCGGGGGTTAATTATTTTTCAACAAGCAAATATTTCTAATGAAGAGGCATATAGAAAGGAAACCAAATTTAATGCACACCGTATTGTGATAAATTTGAACTTCAAATCCCACTACTTATCTTTATTGTTTCATGTGGATTATGTTTTGTCATATAGGCAACACTGGCGCCTACAAAAAGCTCTAATATATTTTAATCCAAAAACCAGAAGATTTTTATTATTGCTGTAGAATTGTATGTATAAATAAAGACATACATGTGTATGTATTCATGCATATGTTTATGCATATATGAAATAAAATTACAATATTTTCTTGTATAGAATTAAATGTTAGTCCAATGACTAAAAGAACAAATGCAAATAACCCATAATAAAATCAGGGTTTATATTATAATCACTGTTTGATTAATGTATTCATTCTTGTGGCAGACTCTCTCTCTCCCTCTCTCTTTCTCTTCCTTTGCTTATAATTTCTAACCGGGATGGCGTCTACTGAGTCTGTGCATAATTTATCTTTTGTATTATAATATCTTCTTGCCATAACTTAATATTATGCATACGTATATATTTGGTTAGTTCACTTTCATGATTGCGTTAGTGACTGCGACCGAGCCTAATTAAATTGATTGAATTGACTAGTTTATCATTCTAATATCCATCTTCCACAGCATACCTAATCTATTCATATGTGTAGCTCTTTTCGAAACAGTTCCAGTTTACTGTTTTACTGTTCTGTAAGCTAGACTGTGATTGCTTAATAAATTTGATTTAGTCGTAAACTCATATCCACTGACATTTGGTTTGTTTTCCTCTTGTATTTCAATAGGCGAGTTGGACCGTGTCAATATTTGCGAAATCAAACAAAGCCGAAGATTTGTTTGAATCCTTATCATTGGAATCGAGTTGTTGTGCAAGATAAATTTGTTGAGAAAATCCAATCATTGAAAAATTCCTCTGATCCAGGTAAAAAATAAAATAAAATTTTACTTGGTATAGTGTGTGCAAGTGACACTGAGGAGTATTAAGACACCAAAGGCTCAGACTACTATTTAAGATTAAAATGTTCTAGGAAACTTTATTTGATTTTGGAATTTTGGAATTAAATACATTAAATGGTTAGGGAGGGATTAGACTATATAACTTAATCAAACCGAAGTGTTTATTGTAATACTAAATGTAGTTTTTGTTCCCGAATTATATCAATAATCACTGAAGTATAATTTATCAACTCACAGAAAACTTTCAAGAGTACTGAACATATTATTTCAGTCCCTGAAATTTCTGATTATTCGTTAGAAATCAAAGATATTTAATCGTCTTTATAAATTCAGTTGTCAAAATTAATATTCTATAAATGATCACAGGAGCCTTATTTATGCAAACTAGTAATGCCTATTACATAACTTTCTCTTTTATTATAGATGATAACGGCTTTTGATATTGTTGTGTCTTCTAGGCTAGGTGTGTTCATTGAGAAACTTTCATTGTCTTTCTAGATGATATCTCCACCTCTTACTTCAATATGAAGTGAATTTTCGGAGTTCTCCGTCTGTCTTTCTTTACAACTTTGACTTTGATTGCTTGTCTTCAGAGGTTTTATTACTCTTGTGTTAGTTTGTGTTAGCATTGGTCGTTTCGTCCACCTGGAATTTAACCTTTTTGGCATTTTCGCCATGTTACTTGTCGTTTATTGGTTAATAAATTTGATCTGTGTCAATGTTTATTGAGTGAAGATTGATCTGAGTACTATGGTTCTAGGAATTTTTTCCCCTGCATTTTTAGTATTTCTGCTGTTTAGAATTTTCACATTTAAACTAGTGTTGATAGTTATCAACATGTTTTGATGTACAAAAATGCATGTCATGTCCTTTGACGGCTAGTTTATGTTCTCAGATTCGAGCTCAAAATGGCAAGTCCTATTTGACCAGTACAGTGCTTTTCACAATTGATTGAATTAGTGTTGTAGATGTGTCGATCTTGTCTTTGCTGTTGTTGGCTGTCTTGGTCTACAGAGTACCGAATAAACTGATTGTTTCGGTTTTTATGTAACGTCTGTTCAGAATACTCTCAGTATTCCATTCTTTATTTCAGAATTTCCCTTTATATATGGTAGGATAGATTTCCTCGAGGTTTCCGAGAATGTTTTACTGCTAGTAGTTTGTTTCTAGTTTGGATATCCCTTGATGAAGTTGCAAGGTAATCAAACTGTCTCTCAAATTCAAAAGACAAGAGAAGATAGATCATATCAAATATAATGATAAGATGTCGAAAGTTTGATGAAGTGCCTGCATTAGTGAGTCATAGTCCCATGAGTTCATCTCAGTTAGGTGTTGTAATTTTACCTATGTAACAAGTAATGTTAATCAGGATAATGTAAATAGTAAGTTAAGTTCATTGAACAAAGCCTCCCAGTGATAACTGCGTTAATCTCTTCATAATCTTAATAATTACAAGATTTAGACTATTAAGTTCTTCGATGTCATCTCTTGGATAGATTCGATATCCAACTATTGAGCAAAGGATGTGTGTACTGCGCAGGTGCTCACTCTGTCATTGTTTATGGCTGTGAAACGTGGTCGTCGAAAGTGGAAAATTTTAAAAGGCTAACTGTTTTTGACCACAAATATTTGTGTTTTATCTCCGGTGTTAATGAGTAGAATATGGTGAGTAATATTGAGGTTAAGCGTAGAGTGCTAAGCAAGCAGGGCTAGTCAATCGATGGGTTTGTGAGGTTACCTCGATTAAGATGGTTAGGGCATGTGCTACGCACTCCAAGCCAACGCTTTCTTGGACGAACAATTTCAGCTGATATTAGATTAGGTTGGGAGAGCGTTAATAGTGGTCAATCCATGAAGTTGTTCACTGTTGATTTGCGCCATCTAGGAAGGTATAGACTACCTGGTCGGGATCCTCCTAATAACTAGTGGCTGGAGATTGTTGATGATATGACTTAAAATTATTGTCAATGGCAGAGATGTAACACTATTTATGAACTGTCATATCCACTAATACCTCATTAATATGTTGATCCTTTCTCCCATACATTTCCGTTCATCGCAGTTTGTTTGCCTTTTATTTCTCTTCTTATTTCTCCATTTGTGTCTACTTTATGAAGTATGGTAACTTAAACTGCGACACTTTTGGGCAAATTTCTACGCCACAAGCTGATCTAGTCGTAACTATATAACATATAGTTTGTAAGTCCTGGAAATGCTTCACCTAGTTATTATCTAGTTACGTTCATATACTAGGAGATTTTGCAGTAATTACTAATGTTGTAGATTGATATCTGGTAAAACTGTTGCAGTTGTCTCATTTCGAAGTGATTCGACTGCAACAGTACGATTTTATTTTATATCGTCGTGAACACTAGCAAATAGTGCTGCTTATCTTTTTGTAAATTAAACTGCGTCCAAAGCTGCTTCATAAGTATACAGTTCGTGTGTAATATACGACTATCAGTTATCTCATTTAATGCACTTGGTTCTCTTGGTAAATTTTGATTAAGCAATACAGAATTAGGATCTGCTATGATCTATCTATCTGTCTACCTGACACATGGATATTCCCTTCAATTATTGTAGATATCTTCTGGAAATTTATTTCTGTAAATTAGTAAATTACATGGTGAAGGTCGTTACGAACCTACATCATTCAGAAATCCATTAAAATCCAAGATGTACAGGACACAGATTTAGCTCTAGCGTGGAACGTTCTAGTAAAGCGCATTACTGATCCTCGAGAAATCAATTTCAGGTGAGTAGTAAGGTCCAACCCAAGCACGTTATAAGTTCAATCAACGACCCCATGAAGCAATAACCAATTTTGTTATGTCTCCTTCAAAAATTGCCTGGAAGTAGGCCCAAAGCCAATGGACACGATTAGATATTGTCAACCAGGGTTATAAGTGAATAATTAAAACAGTGAAAAAGAAGAAAATTTGTTGTATTATACTGAATAGAAGTTTGCTTAACTCGGTAACTTAAACAAATCGCCTTTCTTTTTTTAAAGTTAATTCTTGAATGTGAAAGATACAACTGTGTTGTAGTGGTACCACTATAGTATCATTTCTTAATGTTACCTTATTTTAAATTTATTGAAATTATCATCTATCACATGAAAAAGTTTGTTACTGTTGTGGCTAATAGTGTCTCTGTTTTTTTTTTCAATACTGCATATAATTATGCCTCACCTCAATTATTTAATTACTTCTAAAAGCAGCGGGGTAATTTGTTAAATTTTTTCACTACTAATGGAATGTTCTTTTCCTCTTCTTCCTCCTTGTTTCTTTTAAATCCCTGAGTATAATTAGGTCCTGTCGTATTAACCTCTATTGAGTTTTACATGGCTTTCTTCTTTTTTCTCTTCGCTAAAAAGAGTGATATTTCTATAACCTACATGTATAGAGCTGTGGTGGTATAATACGTTTAAAATTCTCAGTGTGTGTGTGTGTCTGTGTGTATGTGAAAACGAAAGAAAAAAATAGCAACAATAACACACTTGAAATGCATGTGTACACCTCGTATTATTATGGATGTTTAGAAATTAACTTGAAATTATGTCGAAATACTCGGTGACATATATCTATGTGCCTATATACAGCCTTAGCACTCATTCATTCATATGTGTGTGAATACAGATGTGTACAGACATAAAGTTAAATACACTGTGGGTGTGTGTGTATGTGTGTGTGTATATTTAGATTTTAAATATATTGCAAATTATACTTTGTGCATATAACATAAATATTTCTCATCAGTTTTTAAAACTACCATGTGTATGTTTATGTACACGTTACTGTGCTAATGTGAATATTGAATATGCATATACATATAGAATATTTTCTGTTGTTCAGTTTATTAATCCTATGTCAAATATGTCTACATTCTCCTCAACCCCCCCCCGCAACCTCACCTCACTCACTACCCACACATCCAACCAAAAAGATTTGTCTCATTTTCTGTCGCCATTAGATGGCACCCGTTTGGTGCCAGGTGTCATTACTTGTGAGGGCAAAGAGATAGATATAGATTGGCGCCAAACCATAAAAGCCTTCGGCGCCATCCACTTATACATATATGTATATATATTTATTCACAGGGTGTAACTTGGAGCCAAGTTTTACAGTCAGGGAGACCTATACCTTTTGTAAGTTTTCCTAACAGAAGTAAAGTATGGAGGTAAAGTACACTGTGATATTTTACTCTTGATATTACATACATATATGTGTATATATGTGCATAATTTCACATAGTTGTCTACACAGAGAAAAATAATATGAAGCGTTTTTCGGTGCTTAGATTTTTAACCCATCACTCACTCACTCACTCGCTCAATCACGACGACAATGACAACGTCGACCATGACCACAACTGTCATTGCATCATTTCTAGTTATATGGATTGCCATTATGATGTTAATAATTTTCATGGTATTTTGTATACTTCATATTTGATTTTCAACTTAATGCATTGTTGGTATTGTTGTTCTTGTTGTTGTTGTTTTTCCCTCGTCTTCCCTCTGTTATTATAATTGTTATTATTATTATTATTATTATTATTATTAGTAATATTATTGTGGAAATCGGTTGATGATACTATTATGAACTGATAATAATTCTTGTAATAATAAACAATAATAACTGGTGATATCAGTCAAAAAGGATACCGCCGTCAATGTTCATTCCACTCCATTTATTTGAATACCCTTATTTTGCTTGCCATCATTCTATTCTGTTTCGCAGTCTAATAAGACAGAGACATAGGAGGTTGGCGACATTACCTTTAATATATATATATATATATATATATATATATTCGTACAAATCTGTATATCATTAAAATACGAGAATAGCAGAGAGAGGGAGTTAGGGAGAGAACAATAATAATAACAAAGTAAACCATCTCAGTTAGATTCATAATAATAATAACGACTAATATACGCAGCTAAAAAAGTTTTCAGTTAACTTTCGAATTTTCATATCTACTAGGTGGTAGGTAGAGCTCAGTTAGAGAATAATTGACAACAGGGTGAGTAGTGAAATTCAAATGCAACTGACAGAGGAATACAGTGATAAACGGTTTTTGCGTGTGTGTGTGTGTGTAAATGTTATGGAGCCTCCTTTGCAGCCATCCAGCCATGTGTGTATATGATGAAATTGTTTTGGCATTATCTCTAAATATTTCATTGCTGTGTTAAAATTAAAGTACATACAATTGGGTATTTTGATTTTCACAAATCATATCAATTTTCTTTGTGAAATGTTTTCCGCATTTTGGTCTACCTAGATGATATTTAACTGTTATTATTATTATTATTGTAAGTTTTCTTTTTCTTTCGATAATCATACTGGAAATATTTTAGGCAACGGTAGGCTACACTCCAGAAAACATGAATATATATACATATATATTATTTATGTATCTTAGATCTACTGAGCAAGTTGTAATTCGTGTAGGTAATTCAGTTAAATTTCCCACATCTGACAAAAACTATAGATTGTGAAATACTTTTGCCGACAGTGTGCGGTCTATCCTGGAGATTATTAATAACAGCCTTGAATTGTAGGCCCAAAACATGAACATCGCTGTAGAATACACTGGTTTATTTTGAATAATATAGATTAATTTTTCAGAAGGGTTTAGTTATCGGTGAGTAGAATCTTCGCAACACATTGTGAAATCAAATGTATACAAGAAGTTTCAATTCTATGACACTAGGACATCGCATTGACGCTAACATAGCTATCAGGGTTAGATACCATATTCCGAAGTCATTATCACGCACAGTTCGCCTATTTCTTCTACACACAATTGAAGATCGAACTTTCTATTCAATGTATAACACGTTCAAGGGCTGTTCTTATTGTGGCTAAACTTAGATGAAATTTCTCCTTTCCAAGATTGTCTTTTCACCTTTTCTTTTGTCTCGTGTATTTTTCTTTGTCTTCTTTTATCTTTATCCTAATAGTTTTAACCACAATTTTTTATGATTTATACCCTTCATTCTAGCATTCTTTCAATAGTATCGAATTTTCTATTTATACTATTCGAACTTATCATTGATGATATTATCTCTATTCTCAATATATTCTTCCACCTGTTTCATTTCACTGATTGGTTATTTCATAATGAACTATTCACCACAGTTTTACTATCTCCCCTTCAATGCACACTACTTTGTATTAGCCGCTCACTCACCTGACACCTTTTACAACCTTGAATATTGACTTGTTAATTATTTTTCCCCATGTTGCATGAATCTGTTATGACTAATCTACACCATCGTGTCGCATTTTACAATATTTTATCAGTACATTCAACCCAACACGTTTGTCACACACACACACTATTTATTTTCTCACCCTATTACTAATCTGTTATTGTATTTAAAGTGATTATTGTTGTAACGATAAATATTATACTTTATATTTTTAAGGAGGTGAAGAGAATTTAGTGAAAGGAATATTCTTCGTTGAAACCGAGTTTCTATTCATGATATAAGGATATTTCACACCCTTAAACAGTATATATATATATATATATATATATATATATATATATATATATATATATATATATATGGGCGTCGGTGGCACAGCGGTAGAATGCTTGCCAACCACGCATGTGCTTCAGGGTTCGATCCCCGGCTGACACACTCCCTCACCTCACTGAGTCAGCAAATAAGGCAGGGAAAGAGGGGAGGTTGGGTATGAGGCTAGCAACCTCATCCCGTAAAGGTAAACACCACTGCTACCACTGAATAAATAAATAAATATATATATATATATATTCTAAAGTCTAAGTTTCTTTTCAATGTTATCTATTCTTTCTCTCACTTTTCTGTTTTTATTTTTACTTTATTCCTTTTTGTCCCCAGCGGAATATGGGTTTCAAGCTAGAGATTTTGAAGTTTCGGCAGCACTGGTTTTTGTTTTCATGAGGTGGGGTTGCTAGCCTGACGCCCAACTTTTCCTCTCTACTGGCCTTCTTTACCCACTCATCGAGGTTAAGGAGTGCGTCAACTGAGGATCGAATCCTGAACCAAGTGCTTGGTTGGCGGCCGTCCTACCTTTGAGCCACCGACGCACTTTCCTTCTCACTAGTGTCATTATTTTTGTAAATGTCTTCTTGTGCATTATTATTTTGACGTATTAAATCTTAGAATGTCAGAGGTATGTCGCAACAGAAATTATATAAACCTTATCTCAGATGGAAATAACTACAATAAATAGTCTGTCCAGTATTCTTTATGCATGTATAATCGAAAAGTATATTATGCTTGGTTCAAACAATTCTGATATCTAAGATTTACGTAACTAGACATAAGTTGTTTTTTTTACTGTATACGGCATTTTTGTACTTTGATTCATTCGTTCAAATACTTTTTTTTCTCATTCTTAGTAGCATGTCAATTCACTGTAGGCTATGGTGATTACATCCATTCATATTAATTTGTTGAGATATGAAGTGCTCTCTTTCGGTCTTGTTTATAATGATAATAATAATAATCGAACTTCTCACTTCCTTTCGAACTTCTTGATTCCAATTAGCATGAATCTTAACACTATTCACTATGTTTTAAATGCTCTCTGTTTTTACTGTCTGTTCCTTTCATGAATATGTATCATAGTTGTAGACACATTTGTATATCTTCTTTTCTTTCTTTCTTTCTGTCTTACCTTCCGCTTATTTTCCGCCTTTTTTAAATGATGTTGCAACGATATTTACTTGATACATGCGTATTTATATACGCATATATCTGACTGCATCAAATGATCCGACACTTTTTTTGAGGTAATACAACATTGAGAGAGAGAGAGAGAGAGACTGTTTCATCATGCACTTGCCCGCGTATTCAACAATAATGGGTAAATGTGAGAGCATGGATACTAAAGATGTCAGTTGGAAAAGAATAATTATAATGTTTTGCTTTATGCTTTTCTGTATACCTTCAATCATATATTTATATACATGTGTGCGTAGGTGTTCATGCTTTCCTACAATATTTCCAGCTTTTTCTTTCACCCCTCCTTTTTTCACTGTTTCTGTTGTCTTACACAATTAATGCTAGGGGAGAAAAAACTACATTAGCACTTAGAGAATATAAATATATACTATCCATATGCCCTAGAAAGTTATCTAGAGGCTTTCAAAGTGACTTTCAACATCTTCTAAGCTTGGTAGTGTATAAACTGTAGAGTCTCGTTTTATTCTTCTGTTATCTGGCGTTTGTTATTCTCTCATTCCACTTTCATCAGTGGCGTCGTCAATATGAATAGATGTGGTGGGTGGATGGGTGGGTGTGGACGGGCGAGATTCTCGTTATAATCATCATTGTTGTTAATGTTATTATTATTATTATTATCATTAGTATTATTGTTTATGTCTATCAGACTGTTATTATTATTATTTCTATTTTTGTTGACCTTTAGAATTTGATGAATTACAGATAAAAATCTTCTTCTTGTTGTTGTTTTTTTCCCTCTCTCAGTAGTTGGCTGGTTTTACTTCCTTTTGGCGCCAGTCCTTTCAAATGTGTTGTCATTCATGATGCTTTCAGTTGTCATTTCTTTACTTACTTTTCAGTCTCTCTGTGTATGCATGCATGTGTGCATGCGTGTTTGCGTTAGTGTACTCGGCGGAATGTGTGCAATTTTAATGTATTCAACTAGAATGAATATCATTTGTGTGTGTATGTGTGTACTGCTTCGTTTCAAGGTTTCGCTTTTTTTTGTTGTTGATGTTGTTAAATAGACATGAGAGTGTGAATCAGTTGCTATTTGTTGTTCGTTCTCTTTTTGTTCCATTGAAAAACAATCATAATTATTACTTAATAGAGAAAGAAAGTTATCTTTATGTTTTCATATTGTTATAGAAAATGCTTCTTATTAAATAAGAAGTATTCCCATCACATTAGCAATTGTTGAAGTAACACTCCTGTAACCTGTTTTATATTGATTTCTATCAAAGGCGCACGCATAGCTTATTATATCAAATGAATATTTACGACAAAGTGTTGTGCAATTGTTCCAGATTTGATCGCTATAATATAGAGACACTAGCTTGTCTCCATTCTATGCATTTCTCCTTCCGCATTCTTTGCTTTATGTACTTCTATTCACAGATGTTATTGGTTCCTTTTGCATCTCTAACTGCTTGCTGTTTCTGGTTCTTAGTTATGTGAACTGGCGACATATCCTAATAAATATGATTAACGGAGTTATAAAGTGAAAAATAAGATGAACTGTGTTAATTACTAATTAGAAAATTATTCCAACCAACTTTCTGATTCGATGTTTTCATGGCTTAATTTTTTCCCCGTGATTAATTGGACTGACTTATTCAATTCTAGCACGTGTACAGACAGACTCAGTGATGAAATGCAACTATCGCTAACACCTTCATTTTTATTCAAGTACAGTCTCTGTAGTCTCTTAAACTTTCGTCTTATGCATTTGTTCTATTTTCTAGAAAGGTGTATCATTTTCTAAGTTGACTAGTTATCTATCAACTTTTTTAAAGGTTAGATATTCTTAATATTACCTATTACGTTGTTTAAATTGTTTTTAAATATTTTATTGAAATTCTCATATGATTCTTTCTTGTTTCTTTTCCTTTTTGTCAAAATGTCACCCATTCACATTTGCTTTTTATATTTTCTAGACATTGTTCGCTTGGGATTAAATCCTATTAGTCATTCTAGTCCTGATTCTACTGCATCTAACTTAAAAGACGCCAATCTCAATTCATGTCATATTGAAAAAGCCCTACAACTGCCACCTTTATCAACATCATCTTTATTGTCGTCGTCGTCTTCATCATCAGCATCGTCATCGTCTGGACCAGAAACAACCTCATCTTTGATGGCAACACAAGTGTCGTCTATTTTCATGCATCCTACGCATGATTCAGGTAACAAAATTTACATCAGCTTAATTGTGATTGATAATTGTCATAAAAGTATTGATGTATTTTCACAAGACTATTATTATTATTGTTATTATTCCCTTGGGTTCCGGGTGGCGCATACAGCCTCAACTACATACCTCCACTTCCTTCTATTTTCTGCCGTCCTCTTCAGCTGGGTTCACGATTGGCCATAATCTCTAATCTCCTCCTCGCACGATATCCTCCATGTTACCCTAGGATGGCCCACTCGTCGCTTGCCATTGGGATTCCACACGAGTGATGACCTGGCGCGCGACGTCATTCGACGTCTTCCTCAATGTTTACCAGATCCATCTCCGTTTTCTCCTACATATTTGTTGAGCGATCGGCTCTTCGTTGGTTTGTTCCTACAGTTTCTCGTTTCTAATTCTTTCTGGCCAGCCATTTAATCTTCAGTATGGAGCCAGCGAAGTTAGTAGTAGATAAAAGTCTCTAACTGGCTGTTGGAAATGCTTTTCGTGACGCGCAGTGCAAGTTTCTGACTCGTATATAAGGATCGACTTGGCATTGGTGTTAAAAATCCGAATCTTGTTCTTTTACAAGACCAGTTGCATTATATAATCTTGTGCGAGCATTTCCTTTAGTGGTAAAAATCACATTATGGTCTCTGTAACAAATGAATTGTCTTCATATTGTAATAGTCAATGGTTAAAATGAAAATAATAATGAAAGTATGCCTTGCATGTGTATATGGTTACTGCCAAGAAGTATCAGAAGGGTGGAAATCTAGACACTTAATGTCTTCATAGTTGCACATTTATGTGGACTATTAGATATTAAATTTAACTTGGTATCGTTCTATTTGCTTTGTGAATGTAAAGAAAAATTGAGATAGATTGAAAAAGTTAACTTATCATTTATGGATTATTCATGTTGACGATTGTCTTCATACCTACCCTATAGGTTTATTAAGTAGTTCGTGACATATTTTTGAAGTTTCAGTGGAAATGACAAACTTTTCAACTCAGTTCTTTGAAAGATTGGCAGATTTTGTAGAGAATGAACTGCAGTTTGCTTTTTCTTACGTAGATACTAATTTCTAATTCATGAACCCAGCTGTGAATATGCATGATCAGTGTGGCTACCTGTTTCATTATATCGTTGCTAAACTATTTTATTTAGCTTTTGCTTATATTGTTTTTGGCGTTTCTGATGTGTTGCATTTGTTGGTGCTCATTTACCACATTTGTGTCTAAATCCAAAGTATTTCATATCTAACACATTCAAAAGTAATCATTCCAAAGATATGAGACCTAATCTTCATGGTTATAGATCATTATCAGCAACCTATAGTCGAAGAGAAATACTATTCTTTAGGAGGTTTTAAGAATCTTGATTCAGTACTAAACTAAAAGATATAATTTTATAAAGCAGCTGTGACATCATATTAAGGGCACTCTAAGAAGTAAAGCTTCTGAACCCAAAACTTACCAATGATTATCTTCAACAGTTCAGTCTCCGATTCATTGATTTAGTTGGACATTTTGTTAATGATGTTATATACTACTGACTATTGGATACAAGTAGTTGCATTCTATCTTGATTGCCGTTTATGGTATTGAACAGATCACATGGTGATTTAATCAATTCCGGTATCCAAAGGAAACTGTGTGAGGTCTCATTGTGGTTAAAAATTTTGTTGGTTTAATATTGTCTCGCTTTTGCCTACATATGTATATATATATATATATATATATATATATATATATATATATGACCGATTACTCTGAAGATGTATCTTAATGGTACGGATACGTCCGATTTTGTAGAGAACGTTGGCTCTGACCCTTAAGTTGTTGGCATTTTATATTGTATTTCATATTGAAGATTCCTTCTGTAGATATTGAAAAACAAATTGAAATTTAAGGCAACAATGGTTTTCATGACTATAAAATGAAAGGTTGTTAAGTGTGTGTCTCAGGACGTCAGTAATGAGCTAGAAGTGTTCTTCAAGTTGGCTGCGTTTAGGACACAGTTTTCAAAGACACGATCGTTTCACTTTATCCGAGAATAAAGTACCTGAACGCTAGTTTATTTCGTGAGTATTTGTATTTATTCGGTTATTTCCCTGGTCTTGTTAGCATCTACACAAGCTGACTGATCATAGGAAAAAAATTCTGACAGTTCGTTGAAAAGAACTAATCTTTCAAGTAATTGACTGACTTGTCAATGTATAACTTCTTAAAAGTGGATCAGTTCGAGTTGCAAATAGCATATGAAAGTAGGAAAAGGCGATTTAATCAAACTACAAAAGATGAAGACGTACGAGACAGTGGATAACTAAATGAGAGGCCATTGAGGATTCTGAGAATCTGGTTGGTGACATAGTGAAAAATCCTAAGCCCTGTTACCAGTAGTTTCTAGTCATCGATTTTGAGCATCAAGAAGATATCCAGGGAGTCTAAACAAGTTCGGGTCAACACTCAATTACTTCATGACTCTGTTGTAATCTGACTAACCCTTGTTGTTTTTCAGCGTAACTAGACTAACATTATTGGTCGAGAATGTGATGACATAGCATGCATAACACACATCCTAACCATCTCAGTCGAAACAGATTTATAATCTCAATGACTGGCTTTCGTTCCTCATCTTACGCTCCGATTAACTTCATCCTTGCTGATCACATTGTCACACCGAACAGAAGGGAATTAACGTAGGTACATATGTTTGGAACCCCTTAATATTTTCATATCTTCCATATTCAATGATCATGTTTCACAGAGATAAGCAAAGGACAAAGCAAACTGATTTTATGCCTGCTCCAAGAAAAATGCGATGCAGTTTCATAGCATCATTTTTCAATTGAAAGGTGTGAATCTCTGGACAAACCTACTTAGATTTTCCTTCAAGATATTCAGAAGGTTATACATTTCACTCGAGTTCTCACCTGAAACACCTATGTTGATTTTCTTCGCAGTCCGCACTTAGAATTCTAAAAACTATGCAATTTAAGATCTCATGTAATTAATACCTTCAGATCACAGAAGGTGATGAAAAGGTTGGACAAGTAATTAACCGAAATGGACTTGATTCTTGTCAATAACCCTGGACTCATCTCAATTTGATGACTTTTATATCATTGAAAATCATGCTCCAAACATTCACAAGTTGAAGTACACTTCCAATAAGATACAATATGTTGTTTATATAGCAGAAATATTATTACATTTGTAATAGTACATGTCAACACCCTAATATCACATTGTGCGTCGGTGGTATAGCGGTTAGGACGCTCGCCGATCATGCACATGGTCCGGGGTTCGATTCCCGACTGATGCACTCCTTTACCTCGCTGAGCCAGAAATAATGCTAGTAAAGAGGAAAGGTTGGGCATGAGGTTAGCGACCCCATCCTGTAAAAATAAACATTGCTACAGAAACTTCAATCCACTAGCTTGAAGCCCTATGTTCCACTGGGGAACGTGAAGGAAAAATTTTAAAAAATACTACATTGTTGTGATGATAGTTTGTTTGTTTCACTCTATTTATTTTTGTCAACTTTTTGTTATTACCACATATTGAGGTTTTCTCCTAAGAAATCTTCAAAAAGGAAACACTAATTATGTTAAATACCAAAAGTTTGTTCAAGTTTCTTCTTCATTCCTTTGTATTCTGAGTGGAACATAGAAGTTCAGGTTTCATGCCTTGAAATTCCATTGGTCATAGTAGTTCTGTTTACATGAGGATGGTTCTCTAACCTCATGTAAAATCTTCCATCTTTTCCCGGATTATTACTGACTAGATTAAACTAAGTGGTGACAATTAAGAGTGCATCGGTGGGAAATATAACCTGGAACACTTGTATGACGTCCCCAGCTCGATCAGGAAACTAAATCCCTATTTGAGGAAGAACTAGCTAAACGCATATCTGAGTTCGACAGCTGTGCTCACCCTGGAGAAGCCTGGAAGAATATTCAGTCAGCTATAGATACAGCTGTAAAAGCTGTGAATAAGGCAAATCCAAAGGTGAGTAAAAACCACTGGATTTCGACTGCCTCATCCGAACTGATAGATGCTAGAAGACTTATTCCGGCGAGCTCCGAATTCAATGAGGAGCGAAAGCTGCACAAAAGGAAACTTACTAAAAGTCTCCGCAAGGACCGTGAACAGTGGGGCCTGACAAAGGCAAAAGAGATGGAAAAAGCATCGGCGATAGGCAACACTAGGCAACTCTTTAGACTCATCAGGAAACGGGTGGGAGAAGGCAAATCATAAGTGAGACTATTTCTGAGAAAAATGGCTCCTTAATTAGCTCTCAGGATAGACGCCTTGAACGCTGGAAAGAACACTTTGAGGACAATTTAACTTGCCTACAGCCACACTGAACCTCCCCGACATCCACACACACCCGAATGGGATATAGACACTGGTCCGCCGTCTGTAAGTGAGGTTACAAAAGCTATCAGTAATTTGAAACGAGGCAAAGCGGCAGGACCCGACGGAATTATTCCGGAGGTGTTTAAATATGGGGGTGACATACTAGTTTGTAGATTAACTGAGGTACTAGGCAAAGTCTGGGAATCAGAGACAGTGCCATCAGACTGGGGTAAGTCACTTATTATACCGATATTCAAGAAGGGAAACAAGTCCTCGTGTGATAATCATAGGGGGATCAGCCTAACGAACATAGTCTCTAAAATCCTAGGCTCAGTAATCATGCATAGACTAAGCAGAACTCGGGAGGAACAGACAAGGGAAAATCAAGCAGGCTTTAGACCAGGTAGAGGGTGCATAGATCATATCTTCACTCTTCGACAGATTCTAGAACATAGACACACTTTTCGGCGTCCAACAATTGTCATATTTCTTGACTTGAAGGCGGCCTTCGACTCCGTGGATCGAAAGGTACTATGGCAATGTCTGACTGTGAAGGGAGTGCCAAGAAAGTACATTGCACTAATCAAGGCACTCTATTCAAACTCACGTAGTCGTGTAAGGGCTTATGGGGAATTGTCATCTGAATTGGTAACAACCAGTGGTGTCCGACAGGGATGTCCACTTTCCCCATTTCTGTTTAACTTCATCATAGATATGCTGATGGAAGTATCCTTAACTGAACGTAATGACTTAGGAATCGACTTGTTACCAGGGAATAATCTTATGGACTTAGAATATGCAGATGACATAGTCCTGTTAGGGGAGGATGCTGACAAAATGCAGAGTCTTCTGAACACCTTGAGCAGCAATCTTCGTATGTTTGGCATGCGATTCGCCCCTGCAAAATGTAAGATGCTGCTACAGGACTGGACCACGTCAACTCCTAACTTAGTGATAGGGAGTGAAGTGATAGAACATGTTGACCACTTCACCTACTTGGGAAGTTGTATTAGCACCAACGGACTGATTGGCGATGAAATCTCAGCACGGATCCGAAAAGCTCGAGCTGCTTTCGCTGACTTACACCATCTCTGGCGTAGGCGTGACATCCGGTTATCAACCAAGGGACGTGTGTACTGCTCATCAGTTCGCTCCGTCCTTCTCTATGGCTCTGAAACATGGCCAATACGCGTTGAAGACATGAAAAGGTTGACTGCTTTCGATCATAGATGTCTGCGATCTCTGTCTCACGTTAGGTGGTTTCACAAGATAAGTAATGTTGACGTTAGGCGTAGAGTGTTGGGCAAAGAGGGAAAATCAATCGACGAGGCTATAAAGTTACATAGACTAAGATGGCTAGGTCACGTGGTGCGCATGCCTAACCACCGCCTCCCCCGACGGGCATTGCTAGCTGATATAGGTTCAGGTTGGAAAAGAGCCAGTGGTGGCCAAACAAAAACATGGCATCAATCCATGAAATCCTTGACAGTTAAACTGAGTCAGGTAGGGAGATGCAGACTTCCGGGTTGGGGCCCTCGGGACTCTAGGAATCAATGGCTGGAGACAATAGGTGACATGGCTCAAAATCGTTGTCAATGGCCAGCGCAGATGTATTCAGTCTCTGTAATCTTTCATATTCCTTTCTACCATTACCCATTCTGTTTCACTCTTATACTTGTCAAACTCTATTGATTCTCTTCACTCATCTTCTTGTCTACCTCTGTGTGCTATTTGGAACGTGGCAACTCGAACTGCTGCACTTCGGTGCCAAGTTCTATGTTGAATCCAGACAGACAGACATGGCGTGTGGTGCGCGTTCTACTATTAAAGCACAAACGCACAAGTTCAAATTATTTACAAATGTGTATGTATATTTTTTCAATTTGTCTTATTTTGCAAAACAGGCGTCGGTGACACAGCGGTAGAATGCTCACCAGCCACGCATGTGCTTCAGGGTTCGATCCTCGGCCGACTCACTCCTTTACCTCACTAGGCCAGTAATAAGACTGGTAAAGAGGGAAGGTTGGGCATGAGGTTAGCAATGCCATCCAGTGAAAATGATCACCACTGCTACTGGAACCTCAAACCTCTACCTTGAAGCCCTATATTCCATTGGGAACGTAAAAGAATAAAAAAAAGCACAAAACGTGACATAATGTTGATTATTTTTTTGTACCTTTTACTTCCACTTTGTTTTGTAGTGACATCGTTTGACACAATGACAGATAAATCAACAGCTTTACTGGTTAACAATTCAGAAAAGTTTAAAAGAGATTATTGTTCATCTGATCTGCTGTATAAACTTCAACAGAAAATCAGTACAAATTTAACACATCTTAATCCGAATTCGCCTAAATTCAACACTGGATACACAAATACCCAATTTGTGTCATCTTTCTGTTCATCTTCTTTACAATCAGCTGATGAGGAGAATTTAAATCCTACCTCCAGTACTACAGAAACATCTCTAGTTAGCTCTGAATTAGTCGACTTCAAATATCCAGCGCTTTGTAATCACATGCCTTCAATATCCATCACTGCTAAAAATGAAGGTGTTGAAAATCTATGCATACCACATGAAAACCTTGATTCTGTCCATGCTCATCTTGATACACGAAATGTTCCTCTTTCTCCTATACCTCCTCCTGCTCTTCATCATCATCATCAAAAGCCATGGGCGAACATCTCCTATTGGGAATCACATCATCATATTGGACGTCGTTGGTATGATATAACAAATCGTACATTGAATATTGTTTATAATGAGGATAACAATAAACTACCTTTATCTCCAAAACATGTTCATAATGAAACATATTCACGTTATAATGATAAACTACAAAATGATTGTATATATTTATCTCTTTTAACAGTGTATGAAGCATCAATTCATGCTAAGTATAATTATAAATTAAATTCGAATAAGAGAAGTAAACCAAATGTCTCTGTTGCTACAACTGCTAATAATAATGAACATAATCGTAGTAGTGATATTAATGCGACACATACTAAAGGATCTGTTACGTCGTCTATGAAACAGTGCAGGAACTGCCGTCATAATCATCATCATCATCCAGAGCGACAGCAGCATTTAGATTCATACAGCGCCAAATCTCTTTTAAGAGACATTACAATGCATTCTTCACTATATAAGCCATCCTCTGGATGGAAACAATGTTATCGTCTAGGCAGTCAGGGTATATCACTTACACTTACCACTTATGGTTGTGTTTGGTTGAATAATCAAGCATTGGCTACAAATTTACCCGTATTTGTATCATCACCATGTTTACAGGTGATGGACAATGTAACTGCTGGTGACTTTTGTATGGAACTACCGGTATATCGTGTACCGGCAGGTTATTCATTATTGGTTTTTGATCTTGTATTATATGAGAGCTTATTACTGCGGCACTCTTCATCATCATCATCATCTTCCTCCTCCTCTTCATCTTCGTCGACATCATCTTACTTTCCATCCTGTCGACCGTTTTCGAGCACCCATACTACCAATGATAATAATAACAATAACAATAGAAATAATATCTTTTTCGAAGAGTTAAACACTAATAATAGTAGTCTGTTGTATAGGAATCCAATTATACATATTAGTCTTGGTAAAGGCTGGGGTCCGTCATATCGTCGACCAGATGTTACACATTGTCCAGCCCGTTTAGAGGTATGGATTAATTTGGAGCATATGCTACTTTATTCATTTCATGCAAATTAGCATTTCTACAGATTCTATCTTGTACAGTCTGTTTGTAGTCTTTCTTCTTCACTCACTGTCTCATGTACTTTTCACTTTTTCAGTATTGTGTATGTAAATGCAAAAGTAACCTTGTTAGTTGAATTTTCTTTCTGATTTTTGAGATAACTTTTGTGTTGTTACTTTTACGATAATAAGTAGTATGCTGTTAGTTTGTGAATTATTTTCACTACTTAAATACTGTGATACATATACATAAAAATTTTTTTCATTTACTTTCGTTATAATATTTCCTTCTAATCAGGTAAACTGTACATTAATTATGGGTCATGTTAATACTTTTGTACTTCCTCTATCTTATTCAAGCTGTACATATTGTACATAATTATACGTTATGTTATAATCATCCATTGAATATATAGAATTTTCAAGGTTACAGTGTTATCCAATGATTTTTACAGGCATATTATCTCTTAGTTCGTGCAATGAATAAGACAAAAGCTTACTGAACAATTGTTGGATATTACTTCTGCTGCTATCCATCCATTTGTGCTTTGTTTTAGTAAAATGTTGCAGTTTTCGGGCGGATGGCTTAAAAGCACCTGAAACTTGTGTTCACTCTACAGCAGAAGGATGTGTGAATTTCTTGAAAAAACTAGTATAAACTGAATGTGTGTGTTACAGACTTTATAGCATAGTTTTTGTCATCTGCTCTTGTCTTTCATCAAGCTACTCTGGCAATTTAAAAGTATCCTCCCTTGAGTCTGAACTGAGCACTTCCACTTTTGTTAGCTTGTATGAATATCTGTCGAAACTAGAGGATAGACGTAATTTAACTAGTGGTAAAATATGTATATTTATTTAAGTTTGTGCTGAAAACTTTGCTGTCTCGAATACGCTTTTCTCATTCAGAGAAATAATGGTGTGAATCATCGTATTCAGTATAGGATTCTCAGCATTCATTCTACACCTTAACTTATATTTGACAAATTCAGCTTTACATGTTGAAAAGTGAGCAGTCACCCACCACATACTATTTGAATTTTGTAGGTAAATCTGTGAGTTTTGATCAATGTCATCATTAATACCCTTCGGAGTTCTTGACAACTCTGTACCTTTTTGTTGATATACATCAAGGGATGCATGATATAGTGGTGCTACACGTATACACAGCTGCTAATTCAGTAGAATTCTTGTAAAAACTCTAGAAGTTATCACGCTTACAAGCGGATGAATGAAATGAATGTACTTTTATATGGTTACGTATGGGTTCACGTAAAATAAATGTGATTAGACGTTCATTTGCTAGCTCTCTCTTACTTTGTGCTTCCCGTAAACCCTAGAGGATATTGACCTACATAAATGCTTTCTCATGACAAGGTGAAATTCAAACTTTCTTTCTATCGCATTTCGTAAGCTGTGTATTCTTCTGATTCCAAAGTACGTGTTCATTCATTTCACGATAAGCTTTACCTGAAATCTCTGATATAAGCTTATATTTGTAGGGGACGGAAATAAATATTTGAATAAAAATACAAGTTAATGAAATTATATTGTAAGAGAATATGATGAAAAATACAGTTAACGAGTCATTTAAATTAATGGTTACTTGGTGATACAGTTAGAGTTAGCTACTACAAATTATTAATATTCTCCACATAAGTGTTCATTGCTGGAGTCGTGTCTACTAGTAGAAGATGTGCACCGGTCGTAGAATAGTCTTCGTTTGAGGATCAGAGGTTCCTGCAAAATCTAAAGGATGCAACACGGTTAGTGGTGAATCGAGTAGACAGTATAAACCAGTCAGAAGACGAAGCGTCAAGCAGCACACTTTATATTTTACAATGAATCATCTTAAACAAAAGTTATGTACAATGTTTATATTTATAACATCTGACAAAAAACTACACAATCATATTGTTCCCAACTCCACATATTGTTTTAGAGAGAGTACGCTGCAATTGCCTAACAGTAAGTTTGGAAAGCTATATATAATATTTCCTAAAAATATCTAAGCTTTAGAAAAAAAACAATTGCGTAATACTCTGAGGAGCAAGCAGAAGTAGTAACTCATTGGAAATAGAATGTTAAGAATGAAAATCTTTACTCTGCTAGTACTTTGTACTATATATTCTATCAATTCAAACAAGTATTAATAGTAGAAAATCCTAATTGGATATGCAAACAAGATAAACGAAGTAATCATAAATAGACTGTTTGATCAGCTAAGGAATTGCCGGTATTCCTTTTCTTTTTGAAAAGTACTGATTACACACTTGAACAGACAGCAGAAAAGGCAAATATAAAAGGCTAGGGGATTTATTTGCAGATTCTACAGAAATTTGAGTAGATTATTACAAATATGTGTTGTCTTGAAGACCTGAATGTTTGATGTAACTTAACAGAATTGTAGAACACCTCTTTTTCCCCCACATAAATTGGTATCGTATGCTGATAAGGAGAAAACATTTCATTGTTTGGAGTTGCAGTGAAACAACTTTGCCTTATTTGTATAGGATTTAGTCTAATTTTATGTCATCTCTTCATTAGAGTAATTAAAAGAACCTCCTTAAGATGATTAGTATCTAGCACTCTATTCAGCGTAAGCCAGTTTGTTTAGGAAACCATCACGTAGAGAGAGAGAGAGAGAATATCACCGTTAGATTTTGTGATGCATACACCATTCACCTCAAAAGTGCTTAAGACATTCATGAATGCTAAACAGAATAGTTAAGTATGCGATGAGATACAGATATGCCTCATAGGTGTAAGCACTTGAATCGCAACCAGTATACCTCTGGTTCGCTTACCACTTTGCTTAATTCACCCCGAACAACAACGTGGTACCACCGACCTCCACACAATAAGTGTCGCTTCTAGTTTGATACATGAAAAATCTATCCTAGATAACTGACTTCTAACTAACTAAGACTAAGAGTCGTTGTATTAGGTGGTCGGAGGCAATCTGCAGGTAGCCTTGGACGTAGGTTTCATGCTAGTTGGCACTCATCATCAAGGCGTATCTGCAATGTCGAAGGAACTCATGTCACTTCTGAGATTCGGACATGCGTCACTCAGTGCTGCAGTCAGAGACGTTACCACTGAGCTATTCGGGCTCGTGACTGACCTCCTGTAGGAATGTATTAGATATTTTTGATTGGATACTAGGAGTCGTTTGCACTAATTAACATCCGTTCCCTGTTATGTGTGCCTTCGGAAATAAATAAATAGGAAGACCAATGGGATTAGTGCGACTATAAAGTATTTGCAGAATACCTTGTTTTCTCAAACTGCATAGCGTACTTTGTATAACAGAAGCACTATTCAGCACTGTATGCAAATGGTTTGCAAGAATTGTTACTCTTTTTGTGAGAAGATTTCGTACCATTAAGGCGGAATAATATCGCATAAATATACACCAATAAGTTTTCTGGAAGAGAAGAAATTTATCCCATGAAATTCATTAATATCGATGTTTTGTATTTCCTTGTAAATCAAAACAGGTAGGATTGTGTTTTGTCTTTTTGGTATATACCAATTTCTTCTACCAAAAATATTTAATATCATTAATTCAATACAAAAATTATTAACTGATGAAGAATGCCTAGTAAAATTTTCAAAAGAATGATTACTGAACAAAAAATACTCTTTTCGATAACTTCATCATCAGGTTCTACAGTTATATTTACACAGTAGTAGTGAATGAATTAGTGTTATTAACAGCATTACTGTTTGTTTAAATCACGTCGAATCAATAACAATATCAGTGGATTACAGTTCAATAGCATCAACGTAACAATAAACTGAATGTCAAAAAAAATTTGGAAAGATATTAATACAAATTCATGAGTTTATAATCTCTAATGAAGGCCAGCCAGAGCAGTAGTAGTGGCTGGACTTGCTTCTTTTGCGCAAGACACACTGGTTGTTTCACGCGAATTGTGATAACCTCTGTTGTTTGGAGCGTGTGGTGCCTCGATGTTTTCGTCAATTTCTTTGGTACCAGGTAGATGATAGAGAAAGATTCTTCAATGCTGGCTTTGTGGCAGGTTTCGACCGGATGGTATAATAGCGAACTGTTGATGGTTTTCACTACACATATACTTAGCCATACTGGAAGATGTTGTCGAGCATGAAAAATCAAGTTCCTGGAGCAACGGCCGGTATAACTCGCTCCGCAAGCGCAGTTGAATTGTTAGATACAATGTGAAGTGGCTAGTTGAGGTTCTTCGTCTTTCAATAGAGGAATCACTATCGATCGTGTAGAAAATAAGACATGTAGTTTGCCAGCAAAAAGAATTGTTTTTGAATTGAGTATCTCAGTTTCTTTGTAATTATTTAGCTTGCTATATCTCCCTTGACTTGCAGTCATATGTATAAAGGTTTTTGTTTACGGATAGTGAGTAGTTCTTTTCCGCTTTGTTTGTCATGTGTTTCTTGATAAATTTGTTGGAATAGCTATTTTCAATCAAGGTATCATATACAATGCTTAATTCATCTTCAATTACTTCTGAGCATATAGCTCTAACCCTGTGGCTGAAAGGCTTTACTAAATTTCTTTTGTACTGGAGAGGAACGAAGCTGTGAAAATGTCTATGTTGTTCTGTCCATGTACTTTTCCCATGCAAATTTCTTTTTATGCTACCACCTGGTTTTCTTGTAAGGAGGACATCCAGGCGGGTAATTCTGTTTTGAGATTTCACTTCACACGTGAATTTCATGGCAGAATGTACTTCATTGAATTGAGTTATTAGTGTGTTCCTATCCGAATCATCATCACATCATCCATGTACCGGTAATAAAATGAGAATTTTATGATATGGTTGTTCAAAGGTCCATTTTGTAGTTTACTTAGAAATGGGACTCAATCGCGAGCCTATCGCCACCTCGTCCACTTGTCTGCAAAGTGTGCCGTCAAAGGTTTGAGGTGGGGGGTGAACGTTTCAATCGAATTTGGAGGTATGTAGATGACACATTCACCGTACTTAGAACACAAGACATAGATAGATTTTTCGAAAACA